TAAAAGAGAAAGAGGACAACCAGAAATAAGGTGGATGCATACAGTCACAGAAATTATGAACATACCCTTCTGAAGATGTAAGACCTAAACAGAATACAGTTGACATCAACTTGGCAGCAAATAATTATTATAAATATTATTATTGTGTCAGGAGGGTGACTGCGCTGATGTGGACCCTCCAGATACACTGTGTAGAATAGCCAATTAAAGGCAGTAGGTGTACCTGAGAAATGTAATCCAACAGCCAGCTTTAGGGTGAAGCACCACATTTTAGACCTGGGAGCTGGATCTGCAGAGGAGGAACCATAGTGAATCTCTCTAGAAGAGATGAGACCTGGAAACTAGATCAGGATCACACTGGCACAGATCAGGACTCACCAAAGTACAAAGAGAGAGCAGGTCACGTGGGGTCCACCAGAGTTTGGACCATGAGTCTGTAGACACCAGGAAGTAGGAATGTAGATAAGTGAACTGCAGGTAACAGTTGAGCGGAATAGGTCACCAGGTTCCAGTGGTCAGGATCCAAGTCAAACGTCAGGGCAGGCAGAGGACAAGGATAACCTGGATAGCACACCTCCACATAATAGCCGTACTTAACGTAATGACAATTCTGATTGGCCAGGCTTGATACTCGGTATTGGTGAGTACCAAAAGATAGATATCCGTATTCGTACTCGATACCGAAAAACCTGTCTCGGTGCATCCCTAGTATGTAGTGCTGAAAAATGTCTCTGCAGGTCTGAATTTAGTTCTTAAGACTACTCATAAAATGTGCTGGTGATCGGGCTGATCTCAGCCTTGCTGACAATATTTTCTTAACAATGGTTAAGAAAATAATGCTTAGATGCGACCCAAATCTGGCATGCTCAAAAATCTGCGAGACACATTTAGAATTGTTTCCTATTTCAAAGAAAAGGGAATACCATTTTATTGACTGGGCTTCAAAAATAATGTAGGTTTTAAGTGAGCACAGATCTGTGTAAGAACCCTGACAAAAAAAATGTTCAATGACAATTCCACACATATGCTTCTGACTCTTCAGCACCACACCATGGAATCTAGCTTATTGCAGCTGGTGGAATCTTAAAGAACTCCAGAAATTTCAAAAACATTACCCTTGCAGTTGCAGTGCAGTGAACATTCCTTGTTCTCAACCGCAATGTTAAAGTTCTTATAGAACAGAATATTGTGTCTGAGTCACAAAGTTATGAAGCCACTAAAAGGGAGAGCAAGATAGCCTTCTAATGGTCACAGGAGTTGCTGTGATATGCCTACTCAGATACAAAGATCTTGCCAAGAGAGTCCCTGGGAGAAAGAAAAGCTTAATTCAACCCAGTAAATCTGAAGTATTTTGTTTAGTCCGACCGCCAGTAAAAAGCAAGAGGTAAGAGGCTGCGAGTGCTAGTTTTGGACCCAGCGGGATTGGGTAAGAAAACTGCTTGAAAGAATCCCCTAGACAAAAATAAGCAATAATCCCATGCAGGGTGGGGATAGCCCCACTGCAAGGAGAAGGTTTTGTGAACCCGGAGACAGGCTTTAAGTTTTGCTATAAATGTATGATATATATAGGGAACATGATATCAGGTCCTGATCAGGTGCGGATCTGCAGACGTGGTGCTACTGATGCAGTGCGTTTTGGCCACGTTTTTGATGCGTTCCAGTTAAAAAATATATATATTTTTTTTTTTGCTGGAGTGGGGCTGTCGGTTTGTTAACTGTAGTGCAGTGCATTTTTGACGCGTTTTGCGTTTCCGGTCCGTTTCCTGACCGGACAAAATGTGACATGCAGTATTTTTTCTCTAGTAACCTGAACGGACTGCGCACGTGAGAACTGTAGCCCATAAAACACATAGGGATACATTGGGATGCATTTTTAGTGCAGGAGCGTACGGATCAGGTCGGCACAGAAAACGGACGTCGTGTGAACAGGCCCTTAGCAGTACCCTGTGAGGAAGATTTTATCCACTACTATACACATTATATTTTTTTTCACATTTTATTATATCTACTCTTTCTATTCTTAATATAATGCAAATTAATATACTTTTTCATTTACATTTTAATATTAAATATACAGGGGGTATTTATCAAAACTGGAGCAGACAAAATCTGGAGCAGCTGTGCATGGCAACTAATCAGCTTCTCTTTCATTTTCAAACAAACTGAAGAAAGGAGCTGATTGGTTGCCATGCACAGCTGCTCCAGATTTTGTCTGCTCCAGTTTTGATAGATTCCCCTCACAGTATATTATGAAAGTTCAAGTCAGGAAGTTGTTCATATCACTTAATTTCCACTACTGATTTATTTAAGTAAACTGTTGTTTATGCCCTGCTCTGTTTCTACTACCTCTTTTCCTTGGTCATGATCTGTGAATACTCTGTAAGCTAACCATGCAACAGTAGAATTTTGTTTAAGAAATCCAGTTTCCGAATGTTCATTCAATTTTCTAATACTTAATAAGGTCAGATTGATGATCATTTTCAACCACAGTGATGATAAGAATCGTAGGACCGGGATAAAAACCATTTCTCAAACAAGATTCTAATAGTGAATGTGGTTTTCGTGTGGGGAAACTCCATTTATTCCAAAATTGAATGTTAACATTACCAACTTTCGAATGACAATCTCAAGTCTGATGGCATTACTGATTGTTCTGATTTTATCTTCATATGAACATTTGTACGAAAATCTATCAGTCTATGGCCAGCTATAGTTAGCTTGTAAGGAGTTACACATCTATGCCACCAAACTGACCTATCATAAGAAAAAGTTTACCAATGAATATTCACTACTTGAGATAAAGACATCTACCCATTCCTCCCTTATCCGTTTTATAAGCCACCTGCCCATTGCCCTCATCAGTTTCATAAGACGCCATGTTTGTGAAGTTGTATTAAATAACGGGGCCAGAACATCATTCCATCCTATGCCAAAGTAGATGTCAAACTTAATGAGATCTAAATGATGCCTTTGAGTGACATTGGGCCAATAACAGTAGTTTAAGATAATTTTACTCATTATTGTTGAACATGCACGTATAACACTTTATAATAAATGTATTTTTACGTCCTATACATTTGTGCTAGTTAATTTTAAAAAAATGCTTAAACAGGACAAAAGTATTTTGGTTTATGTGATCTAAGATATTTGTTAATTGGATTTTGTCTGTTTACAAATGTATACAAAAGGTCCAACCTCTACAATATTGTACATCGGAATGCTTGTCTCTGTAATCTAGCTACAGAAATAAACATTTGTGAAGACACTTATTTTTTTCTCTCTGAATGTTTTTTTGGCAATTTTGGAATGTGTGCCTCTTTTTTAGAGATCCACCACCTGTGAGGGAAACCACCCCATGGCTGACAGCCACATCAAGCGCACAGTAAGGTAAGATTTTTATCTTACTAAGCTTTTAGTTGAGATGAGAGCCTAATCTCTCATAAGTGGGGACTCTTCTTATAAGAACAAGTTCGGGTCCCTTTAATAAGAGACAGATAGGTATGAGTTTTTGCTTAAATATGTAATTGTTACAAACATTCTAATTGTTTTTTTATATTAGTTATTAACATTTTGCTTTGATATGAATGTGAACTGCTATAGTCATCCTTTGGTATAGACTATGACATCTAATTTCACTGTTACTTATGGAGTGATGGTTGTTTTTGTGATCTGTTCAGTGTAAAGGTGCCCATACACCTGCCGATTATCGTACGATAATCGGCAGGTGTATGGAAGGCGTACGACCGTATCTACTGTACGGGCGCATGTCTTTTGTCTCCCGAGCAGGCATGAAAACCCGCCGAGAATTGTACGATTGTCGGCGGGTTAGTGGCACGACACACTGCCCGCTCAGCATTGCAGTCATCAGAAGCCCTCCCCTCAGCGGGGTGTGCTTTTGATGATCGCAAGTACCATCTGCCTGTCCAAGATGGGCAGATCGTACAAGCTTTTAATTACTTTACAACCATCGCACAATGCAAGTTGTGCGATGGTTGTAAAGTGTATGGCCAGCTTTAGACTGCATGAATTTTCATACAATGCACTGCTGAGTATGTGGAAGTTTGGCACATCTAATCCCCTTGCACCAGGGACTTGGCCAGGAAAAATGGTGGGCAGCAAAGGAATTTGTGACATTTTCCTTTCTTTTGAATACTCATTTTTTCTTACCTTTTATTTCTGAGTTTAAAAAATTACCTCTGGCTATAGGGAAAAATGGGGCCAATAAATCTGTAACAGGGTATAGCTCAAATAGACTTTTATTGCCCCATGTGAGAGTAAAGTTAATGACAGTTTTTCAGAGGGTTTTTTGCCTTCCTATAAACAAAAAAGAGTTGTGAAAGCTTGAATTTGGTCGATATGTGTCTTTTTCAGCCTACCTAAACATGTAACTATAAGGCAAATACCCGAAGCTAGATATAACATCCGGATGCATGCAACCATCTCACATCCCTGACCTCTGATGGACAGTACAGAAAACATATCGCTGCTACACAGCACAACTGAGCTAACACATTAATAGAAATACTGAGCCACCAACAAAGAAAAAACAGGAGCTCCTAGTTTGAATTAAAACCCTTGACACTACTAGGTTTCTTGGCCTGCATTGTGCTACAGTCATGCCATACTCATCTTCCGCACTAAAAAGGAAAACTAAACCTTCTTGTGAGAATACCCTTAGAGACAACTTTTATCTGGCCAGAAACAGAACTGCTTGGAATATGAGGTACAACACAAATGGCTTGATAATATTTAAAAATAAAAATGGAACATTTTACATTACCGTCATAAATATTACTATAAGGACTGTAAAGAGAAAGTCTTACTATGCTTAAATAGAAAAATCAAACTACAAAAATTAAAATCCAAAAAAGTGTCTTGTCTAGAAAGTGCTACTTAGATGTGCATTATATTAGGAATGGACAAATTCAGACTGAACTTAGAAGCCAGTCAGTCCAAGTCGGTGCATTTCTTGTCCAGCCCTGCCTAACTACACTGTATGCAATAGTATTCTGTCCATTTTCTATATACAAGATATATATAAACAGTTTTATTCGGATGATATGACTAGTTTTACTCTGGAGTGGATCTTCAGGTGTGTGGTAAGATGGGATTTGCGGGTGAACCTCTTCCCACACTCAGAACAAGCATATGGTCTCTCTCCAGTGTGAGTGGTTTGGTGTCGCACCAGATCCCGGTTGTAGGCAAATCTTTTATCACACTTAGTACAAGCATATGGGCGCTCTCCAGTATGTGATCTCTGGTGGACATTCAGATTAGAGATACAGGTAAAGCCTTTCCCACAGTCACTGCATATATATGCCCAGTTCCCTGTGTGAGCCATCCGGTGCTTGACCAGTCGGGAGTTATCAGCGAAGCTCTTGCCACACTCCTCACAGGTAAATGGCTTCTCTCCGGTGTGAGACCTCTTGTGTATGACCAAAGCTGACGTACATGAGAAGGTCTTCCCACATTCCACACATATATATGGCTTCTCCCCGGTGTGGGTGCGGTTATGTATGAAGAGGGAGGAGTTACTAGTAAAGCTCTTACCACATTCCCAACAGACGTATGGTCTCTCTCCTGTATGTATTCGGATGTGTGTGGACAGAGTAGCACTACTGGTAAAACTCTTTCCACAATGTGTACATGTGTATGGCCTTTCGCCACTGTGGATCCGCTCATGGATCACCAGAGAAGACTTCCTAGCAAAGCACTTTCCACAGTTTTCACATTCGTATGGTTTTTCCCCAGTGTGTGATCTTTGATGAATAATCAGATGAGACATCGATATGAAGCTACGTCCACATTCAGAGCAGATACACTTCTTTTGAGGCTTGTTGGATTCATAGTGGACAGTGACCTTTGATACCTCCAGTGAGTTTTTGACAGTTTGATGACACTTGTAATCCAAAGTGGACTGACGGAGGCTCCGCCGCCTATCATAACAGCGGTTCTGATCATTTTTGTTTTCCTCCTTATGTTGTTCTTTCTTCTTTATCACTTTCTGGGATTTACTTTTACTCAGGGTAGGAGAAGACACTTTGTCATTGTTTAAATTTGCTACTGGCTGTGGTGCTCTCAGACAGTCATCATCTATGAAAAAAATTAGAACAGGTGGGTAGATTATACTGCCAACATATTACTCTAAACAGCAGAACATTATGACTTGAGAAATTATTAAAATGGGTGATTCTGGGAAAACCAGAAAATGTCTGTGTGTGTAAGTTACATAAAAACGCATTTCTATTAGAATGCAAAGTAATAGAGCCTAAAAGCAAACAAATACTGTCCAAATACAGTATTTATTTGCAATACTGTCCAAATACAGTATTTGTTTGCTTTTAGTGCATTCTTATCTGACTCCTGGTGTCCTTTATGTATTTTGTACAGATATGTGGCGTAATCCAGCATGAAACAACTCATACAATTTGCGTAGGAGTTTCCTATGATAAAGGCTGGTCACTACTGTTCTGTCTCCTATGGGCTTTGTGCAGCAAAGTGATGATGTCACCGCTACCATAACAAAGTTAACATCAAGTGTTTGCAAAGGCATTTAGTTCACACAGAGTGGATTTATATCCCTTGTGGCTATTAAGTAATATATTTAAATGAAAGCTCTTGTGCCTGGACTTCAGCTCTACGGCAAAACAGAATTCTTATTGCAACATGCAGAAACCTAGTCTCTGGTTGTATGTGTATTAGAGTGTGCTAATATTTAGCGCTACATATTGTAATCACAAGTTTAGAAGAATAAATGTACACCCAAGCAGATTGTTGAAACCTGGAGCTGTCACTGACAGTCATATGCTAAGGTTGAAGGAAGAAGATAAATGGCCACTGCATGCAACTAAACAGAACATTCGGGAATCCCATGGATATGTGCCATGTGGTTAATTGGGGTTCTGAGTAAAAAATTCGCTGATCGCCTATATGTGAAACACCCGGTACCGGGTGTTCCCATTGGACGGGTCTTTTTTGCCCGTGCGTGCCCGCTAGGGGGCGCGCGCGAGCAGAAAAAAAATGCCGTCTGGCGACGGCAACCCGCCACTGCAGCAGTGCCGTCCGTCCGTTTTTCTACTACGGGCGGACGGCAAGAGGTTAAAATGTGTGAGGAATCAGCCGTAAAACCAAATGGCATGTACTGCTCATGTGCAGTGAAGTTACTTGCCTGGCTCTTACTCCTGGCATACAGATTCAACATATTGCAACACTGCTCCTTCACAGCCACATAGCAGGGAAGAAAAACAGGTGCCTGCTGGCTGAGCTCGTCCATGCTCTAATGTACACACCTCCACAGTTAAAAGAATCGAGCGGCACACTGCTTGTCATGCTAAAAAACTCCTTTATTCAGACTTTCACAGCTCGGCTTAATCCCACCCTTAGTCCACCCATCTAACTTGTTTCGCCCTATCCAGGGTTTAGTCCTACAGCCAAGCCCAGGATAGGGCAAAATGCGTAAGTGGAGTAGACCAAGGGTGGGACTGAGCCAAGCTGTGCAAGTCTGAAATAAAGGAGTTTTTCAGCATAACAGGTGTGTGGCTAGATTCTTTTTTTAATGTGGAGGTCTTACTCCTGGCATATAGATGCCAGGATTGGACACTTTACATGGCAGTCAGTTTTCATTAAAAAAAAGAATATGGCAGGAGAGACAGAAAGTCTCAGAAAGAAAATCTTTTAATGAGAATCACTATATTTCAAAGTCATGCATTTTGAACAGCAGCTTTATGGAGGGTCACTGTTGTTGAAACTTGTGGGAGGTGACCCAGTGCTGAAACTTTCTACTTGAGATTCCTTACATTAAATTTGTATTGAAATGACCTTTAAAGTAAAACCATAGTCTTTTGACAATGTTCTTTAGATATATGCAAAAATAATGAACTTATTGTAAATAAGCTTATCATGGAATATTAAGATGTATTATCTGTAAATTTACTCAATCCATTTGAAGATTCTGCTTCCTAGTTAGTAGTACAGTTAAAGGAGAACTATGAGGTGAGTGCTTTTCACTCACCTCAAGGTTCTAGCCGACCTGTGACAATGAGACTGTCACAGGTCGGCTCAGTAGATCGGGAGGTGAGCGAACATATAACGGCGTTCGCTCACCTCCCGATCTGCCGTGACAGGGGAGGGGCTGGATTCTCCCTTCCCCGCTCCGATCCGCCAGCGCTGACTGGCGGATCGGACGGGGGAGGGGGCTAGTACAGCTGGTTCTGCCTCTAGATAGGCAGAGCCAGCTGTCACTCACGCAGCTGGGCGGATCTCGACATCGATGTCGTGATCCGCTGCGGAGTCTCAGTATACCGCGAGCTGTAGCTCGCGGTATACTGAGCTTAGGGTAATGGGAGGACGCTAGTTTGTGTCCTCCCTTTACCCTAAGGAGAACTATGGGGAAAAGCCCTGACCCCATAGTTCTCCTTTAAATTACTCTCTACAGTTTCTCTCTCTCTAGTGCATGTCTATGAATCAGGTCTGACCTGACAAAAATAACAGAGACTTTTTAAGGCTAATTGAGTCCAATCTTACCAGTCCTTGAGGGGAAAAATACATTCTAATGTTTACCCATGTTAAAAACAGTTTTATTTAATCTTTAATGAAGCAAATTAATGTAAATTGTAATCAACCTGGAACACAGATGAGCAATAACATTCAAAGAGTTTTAAAACTTCAGGATGGGAGTCTTAGCTGGAATAGCTTGATTCTGGTATTTTGGTCATATCAGGTATTAAAATGAAACTTCAGTGGTAGATGAAAGAAGCGAAAGAGGAGTGACCCAAAACTGCAGGAACACCGGAGTGATCTTCAAAATCAACTAGAAGAACAATGGAATAAAATGATGCCTTGGAACAAGAAAACGTCTAACCACGTTCCTGAAACAATGACCTTAGAAATTATAAACCTCTCAGCTTGAAGGTTAAACTTCACAAAAAGCCAACTGTATCGCTTGTCTGTACCATTTTTACACTTAAACAACTACTTTTAAGCTGGCCATGCACTAATATAATTTTGTTCAAAAAAATGAATATTCAGAACGTTTATTTGATTTTCTAAAAGTCAGTGGGGTCAAATGTAAGGCTGCAACTAATGATTATTTTCATAATCGATTAGTTGGCCGATAATTTTTTTGATTAATCAAATAGAAAAATTAAATAAATACCATCCTTAATTCAAAATAAAATACGTGTCCAAGATGGCGCCCTGAGCGGACGTTTGTTTCTGCGCTCTGCTGCCCTGCGGGCAATTTTATCCACCATTTATCCTTCTATGGGACTTTCTTTGCAGCTATTTTTGATACTCTTGCCTACTTACATTTTCCAGTGACGGAGCATGACCAGGGGGAAGCAATCCTTGCACTCAAGTTGTACAGGGCAATCTTGGCAGGCCTGGAAATCGTATTCCCCGACACGTGCCAATATGGTGTCGCAGACGGAAACATGTGATCCTGAATCTCTCGACAAAGCCAACTTTACAGCCATTATCCAAGTGAGCTTGGTTGTCAAACTACCCTTATCTCCAAACTGGATCATGTTCAGTTGGATATTGGGCTTATTCACAGAGACTTAGCTAAGATCCGTGATCGCTTGTCGGAGGTCAAGCGGCAAACAGGAGTGGCGGAAGATGTGCTCCACGACCAATTGGCCACTCTACGTACGCTCCAGACCAAAGTGAAATCTCTGGGGGAGGACGCTGAAATTCGCAACAGACTTAACAATATTTGCATCCTGGGTCTCCCGAGGGGATGGAAGCCCAAGATACTGTTACCTTTACGGAATCGTTACTCTGCAGCTTGTTGCCGCAAGCAAACTTTTCGCCATTCTTTGTTGTAGAGCAGCCAGGGATCCTCCTGATTCCCCTCCTCGTACCTTCATTTTACTCCCGCTCAAGGTCTGCGGCAGAGACTTGGTGATCTAGGAAGCCAGGAACCAGGGTGACCTGTGCTTTGAAATGCTAAGCTCATGTTGTTCCCATATTATTTAGTGGATACACAGCGCCTTCGCAAGTTCTTTCGATCAGGTAAAGGTTAAGCTTCTGGCCAAGGGAATTAAATACAGCATGCCTTTTCCTGCGTGGCTGCGAGTCCAAGATGGTGAGGCAACAAAGTTCTTCACTTCTCCTGAGGAGGTCTCCTTGTGGTTAGAAACCATTAATCGGCGCTGATGCCCTAAGCCTGGCTCATTTCTTTGGCATTTTTTATTGCGGTTCGGGGCCCTTCTCCTTTTCATCGCCTGTCTCTTTGTCATGTCCAAAAATTTGTGAGTAGTTCTGATGATTGTTAGTCTTTGTTAGGTTTCTGTGAATTTGTTTTTTGTTTCCCCTGGTTATGCGCACAAGATATTTGAGCCTTTAATTCATTGTTGGAAGTCTGAAATTATCTTCTGATCCATGTTGTGGTTACTCTTCGTCTGCTGCTGGGAGTCTCCCGGTCTGTTATTCTGGAGGATGGCATCACTATTCTTTTTTTGTCACTTCCATATCTTACTTCATTTTGATTGTTTTTCAGTTTCACTCATAAACTATCTGTTCATAACCATGCTTTGAGATACTGTTCCTTGTTAGGGGAATTTAAAGCTCTTTTTTTTTCTCTCTTGGTTGGAGGGTGGAGCGTTGGGGGTTCTTTTTTCTCTATGTGGATTTTGGGCTTTTGTTCTTCATCAACAAAGTACACCATTTTGTGATACCTGTTACTCTGTGGGGGGGTGTGATTCCTTTAGGGGGGTGGTGTCCTGTTATTGATGTTCTTTCCATTTGGATCTGGCTTGAGCTGGTGGCGGGTACTTTCTGCCTTTACTTATTCCCTTACCGATGGCTCCTTAATCTTATTTTGTGGAATGTTCGTGGGCTGAATTCGAAACTTAAAATGTTCTTGGTTTTCCGTTTTTTAGAGAATAATAGCCCTCATGTCTGCATTCTGCAGGAAACTCATTTAAAAGGAAGTACAGTGCTTAGTCTAAAACGGGCATGGGTTGGTCATTATTATCATGTTACCTATTCTGCATATGCACGAGGGGTTAGTATTCTGGTGCACAAATCTTTGCCTTTCCTGCTACTAGACCTGAAGCTAGAGCCGGGGGGTAGATACGTTATGTGTCATGCAGTTATTGAAAATGATGATGTGGTGTTGGTGGGCCTTTATCTTTCCCCACCTGCTAAGATGCTTTTGCATTCCCTGATTCCTATGCTGGCAGCCTATCAGACAGACAAGATCATCATAGCGGGAAATTTTATTATGACTCTTATTATTATGATTATGACTATGTGTCCGTCGATGGATAGACTCCGTCCCTTTGTGGGTCACTCCTTGGATATGTCTGGTTGGGCTGCTGCCTATGGTTTCACGAATACTTGGCGCTGGAGGAACCCTACTTTACCAGCTTTACTCTGCCACCCACCAGTCTCTGTCTCGCATTTATATTATTTTTGTTAATGATTCTCTTTTGCCTAAGGTCTAGGAAGTTTCTATCCTTCTTAAACTTTCTCTGACTAATGCTGACTCGCGGGGACTCGGGAGGCTTTCCCAGTACTGGGCAACTGTTGATAGGGTGGTGCCTTAATTGGGGATGAATTGCACCTTTATTGGCTATCTTAGCCAGGCTCTGCCCCTCCTAAAATGGTATGAGATGGTTTTAAGGCTAGTGAGCGGGGCCATTATCAGACTGTCGTGTCCAGGGTTAGGAGGCAGTTGGATTCTCAGATAGTAGAGGCAGAACGCAGGGCCCAGGAGCTGGAGTCGACTTTCATTAGTACGCTGGACCCATTGGTCCATTTTAGCCTACAGATAGCCTATAGGGAACGGAGTGGCCGTCTCCTGGCCTTGCTGGCTCAAAAAAATGTCACTGCAGTGGGAGTAGCTAGGCTTCGGGATGATCAGAGGGTTATTATTCAAGACTCTCTGGATATTGCTGCCCTTTTTGCCTCATATTATGAAAGTCTCTATACCTTGAGAGCAATGTATAATGCAGATTCCCTGGGGGTGGATTTAGATCGGGTGGATTTTCCCTCCCTTGGCCCACAGGAATGGAACTTTCTAGATCCTCCACTTAAGGCGGAGGAGGTGGAATTGGCTATTGCCTCCCTGCGGTCTGCTAAAAACCCCAGGGCTGTCTGCCTCCCTGCTGAATTTTACAAAACTTATTCTGAGACTCTATCCCCCTATCTGTATACAATGTTGATTCACTCCTTGAGGAATGGTCCCCTCCCCCCTTCAATGGCTGCAGCAGTGGTGGTGGTACTTCCTAAACCTGGTAGGGGCCCTGCACTGTGTTCCTCGTACAGACC